AAGGCTGACTTCAATCTCAGAGGTCAGCCTGCCTCTGCCTCCTGAGTGCTGGTATCAAAGGCATGTACCACCATGCCTGGTGCAAATAGAATATTTTTTTTTTTGTCTTGAGACAGGGTCTCCTTTTAGCCCCAGCTAGCTGGCCTGGAACTTACTATGTAGACCAGAGACCAGGCTGGTCTTGAACTCACAGAGATCTGCCTGCCTCTGCCTCCCAAGTGCTGGGATTAAAGGTATGTGCCACCACACCCAGCATAAATAGATTTTTTTTAAAAAGTTCAGAGTGTTGACATTATATAATGAGAACACTAGAGTCATTTCCAAAGCAATGCTTTCTCTGAGCAAAAGGATTGCGGGGATTTTATTCAGGGGGTTTATACATGTTTATAAAGGGGTGGGTCCATTCCAAAGCATGCTCAGTTAAGGAGTACATTCCTGAGCACCATCAGTTTAAGGTCATAATTTAAAAGAAAAGATAGTAGTCCTATTTTGGGTGTTCATTCAGCCCAAAGTCATGGGTGCACGTATGTAAAAGAGTAAAGTGATAAACAGAAATGCCACTGGGCATGCTCAGCTTGCATCATAAAGTTTTAGCTAAAAGGAAGGAAAGGATTCTGTGAAGGTGTGTTAACATAAGACTCTGCCTTGCCTAGTCACTAACATCTGCTGGCGATTCCCTGTGCACGCAGCAGATGCCTGTGCCTGAGTGAAGCATCAGGTCCTGTCTGGGATCCGGTTGCTGCGTGGCCAGCTGGGTGACTCCCTGCCTGAGCTGTGCTAAGTGTCCTATTCCCTAAAGCTAGTCCCAACAGAGGCAGGTACTCGGTGTCTAGTGCTCAACAGCCACTGAGTCGAAGGGGTCAGGCAGCAGCTGTCTGACAGCTGAAGAAGCAGCTGACCAATTGGAGAGTTGTCTCGGCAGGAAGAAGGGAAGCAGAAGTAGAGAGACCACAAGAAAGAACTGAAAGCTGATAAAAGGCTGTAAGGAGTCAGAGAAGAGAAACTGCAGGCCCAGAGGAGTTCTAGAGAGTTAGCAAGTCTTCAGGGCCAAGGGTCTGAGACCCCAGGCTGAGAGTTTTAATCGAAGCTGCTGCCAAGGGTTAAGGGTCCTGATACACAACACAGGGACCATAGCTCTAAGGGTTCTGATGAGACCTGAACAGAGACTAACGGTGGAGGGTGCCACTTGCTGCCACTCACTGCTGGCAAGAGAGTGACTGAGGAAATAAATGGAAGCACTGAAGGAGATTCTCCTTACCTACCCTTGATTTCTATCCAGGTAGAGAAAACCTTCAGCTAGCTGATTGGTGACAGTGGGGATCAAATCCAGAGCCTTGTCACACCAGGCAAGTGCTTACCACTCACCCCTGCCCTGCCCCCCGGGCTCAGGATCCATATATTTATTATAAACACTCTGGTTTCCCAAACTGCAGTTTGGAGGAACTGGACCTCAGTTTGTCACAGGGACCAAAAGAAGAGTGGCTCAGAGATGTCACTTGCACCTCCCAGAAGGAACTTTAGCAACAGTGGAGAAATAGGAAGTGGATTTGGGAGGGGTTAGGAAGAGAAGTGAGGGGTGAATATGCTCAAAATACATTATATGAAATTCTCAATTAGTGAAAAAAATTATATCTAAAAATATATGGATCCCCCGGGCGTGGTGGTGCGCGCCTTTAATCCCAGCACTTGGGAGGCAGAGGCAGGCGGATCTTTGTAAGTTTGAGGCCAGCCTGGTCCACATAGCAAGTTCCAGGACAGCTGGGGCTACAGGGAAACCCTGTCTCAAAAAGACAAAAAAAAAAAAAAAGGGACATGCTTGCACAGTTGGTGAGGAAGTCAGAGGACTCATGGGAAGCTCCTAAATCAACAGGAAATCTAATAGTCAAGCCAATGCCGGAATTCATGCACGACTGATGCACCTACCAGCTCTGCTGTGATGGGAACAGCTTGTGAGGCTCCTGCAGGTCTACTAGGAGAGCAGGCAACTGCAGAACAGATGTGGAGGTGTTAAAATCTGCCTAGGGTTATATAGCAAATTGAGTGATGCCAAGACCAGATGCCTCTGTTCCACTGAGTCTGTACAGCATTCTTGCTCTCTATCCTGGTGATCATTTCAGGGAATTGAAGAGCACTAATTTTGTCAAGCAGGGGACAGGAAAAGGGGGAAAAAAAGATTTTCCATTTTTAAAATACTGGCTAGGTTAGCTTGATGGAATGAAGAAATCTAGCAGCAATGACAGACTGATTCTATCACTACTTAAAAATATTTTATTATTTTTATTTTATGTGTTTGTATATATTGCCTGAATATAGGTAAGTGCACCCATGTTGTGCAATGCCCAGGGAGGACAGAAGAGGGTGTCAGATCCCTGGAACTGGAGTTACGGACAGTTGTTAGCTGCCGTGTGGGTGTGGTATTCAAACCCAGGTCTTCTGCAAGAACAGCCAGTGTTCTTAACCATTGAGCCATCTCTCCAGCCCCTGTATCACTAGTTCTTTTTGATTCCTTATGCTAGTTCTTCAAAAGAACCCCATCATCCTTTTCAATTGGGTAGTAATGATAATAAAATATTGTAATAATGAATGAACAAAACAAAATGGAAAATAGATATGTACACCCTGATTTAAAGGCATTGTACAAACAGGTGCATCTTTTGTGCTTTTTGAATCATTTAAAATAATTTTCAATGAAAAGGGAAACTGGAACTATTAACTCAAGGGCATAGGTCAACAGCACCACACACCACTTCTGCCCTTCAGGTTCACACTGTTGGTGTTGGCAGTATTGTCTCATGGTTCTTGATGCTTTTGGAATAGGGTGGTTAGTAACTAATATGAAAGAAGTCATCATTTAGATGAATGGTTTGATGACTCAAATTTTGGTTACTCATTCAAAGGGAGGAAGGAACAAAACCAAAGATGGAGGGGGATGGGGTCAGGAATGACAGTGTCCCAAGTTTCTACCATCAGAGATGGAGCCAGATTTGCTAATGTATCAGAAATGATCTTATTTGCCTTTACTTACTGTTATAGTCTGATAACTGCCAAGAATTCAGCCACAAGGTAGGAAGGATTTTATTAACAGCTGGGCTGTCCCTGCACTCTGGGAGTGAATACAGAGAGCAGCCCCAAAGGGAGTCTGCAAGGACTTTTTATACATACTCAGATAGTTCTCAAAAGTGGGAAGACAAGGGGCCAATCATCATGGTTTAAACTCAAGCACATATTTGCATAAATCAGTAAAAGTTTAAAATTATCAACCCCCAGAGTAAGCAAGCAAGCATGGACAGAAGCAGATATGGCGTTAGGAAACAGCTTGTCTCATCTCGGCCAGACATGTGGCAGCTTCTAAGAATTCCTGGTCCCTATAGGGTGTAGGCAATTTTTGGGAAACTGGAAAATAACTAGGCCAGGTCATGTAGGATGGTAAGATGGATGTCTTTTACTCAGGGGCCTGCTACACTTATCTACCCTTAAAATCTGGTCTGTTTTTTCGAAGAGCAATAAAGTTCAGTAATATTCACATCCAAACCATCTTTTTTTTTTCAGAGATCAAAAATGACCCCCCCGCCCACGTGCTTTTTTTGGTCTTTGAGGCAGGGTGTGGTGTTCCACTTCAGGTGAGATAGTGGCACAGAGTCACACTCTGGGACCTGTGTCTGCGCAGCAAGGCATTTGTTTTTCAGTTCTGCAAGGTTATATACACAAGGGTCTAGCAGTCATGTGCAAAGCTCAGAGTAAGCTCAGGGTACAAAATAGGATGTTTATCCTTTACTACCACAGGCTACATTCCTTAAGAAAAAAGGGTTTATGCAGGCTGTGGGCTATTTGTCAAGATGTTTTCTCTTGAAACAAGGAACACTGTAAACTTTTAGCCTAGCTGGCTTCCTTCTGCTAATCACAAGGTGTTCCACATAACAGGATCAGAATCCACTATGTTCAGAGTCTCCCCCACAAGCAGAGGCTGTGGCTTGATCTTAAGTCTCAGATTCTACTTGTTCAAAGGCAAGCCATCTTGATCTCCAACACAAGGTCTCCCTGGAGCCCCAGCTGGCCTGGAACTCACTATGTAGATCAGGGTGGCCTCAAACTCACAGACATCCTCCTGCCTCTGCCTTCCAAGTGCTGAGACTAAAGGTGTGTTGCCACCATGCCTGGCTCCAGCTTTTTAAAAAAAATTCTTTTATTTATTATTTTTATGTATATGTTTTGCCTGCATGAATGTAAGTGCACCACATGTGTGCAATGCCTGCAGAGGCCAGAAGAGGGTGTCAGATCTCTGGAACTGAAGTTATAGACAGTTGATAGCCACCATGTGAGTGCTGGGAATTGAACCCAAGTCCTCTGGAACAACAGCAAGGGTTCTTAAATTCTCCATCCCCCAGATGACCACTTTCATATCATACATATAAACTTTATGTTTCTGTTTCTCTCTCTGTCTCTCTCTGTCTCTCTCTCTCTCTCTCTCCTCTTGAGATTATTTTAAATGAGATGTTAGAAATTCCTTGGGCTCTATCTACCATGATCTGAAATAGGTAGTTCAAGAGCAAGAGATTTGGGATGCTGAGGTCCTTTTCATTTGTCATCTTATTTATCCCTAAGTGCAGGTAATATTGCTCTTAATTTACCACAGAGGAAAGTATGCTTAGAGAAGTTAAATGCTTGGAGGTTACTGCTGCTAAAAGGTACACCTGTGGTTCAAGATCCAAAGTACGGATTGTTTGCACAATAGTATTCTGTGTTGGATGTGCTGAATTGCAGTGTGGTATATTTTTAATGAGAAATCTTACACGAATTGTATAGAATTGGAAAGATCTTCCTGGTCCACAGTGCCGGTCCACAGTGCCTCCCCACCGTAGTGGTCTGGACTGTAAAATATAAAATTACTCAAATGCCTCAGTATAATGAGTGCTTGTGAGTGAATGGGGTTATCAAGGTCCACAGCTGTAACCCCAAAGTCATTATTGGAACTTACCTATTTTCCACTTGTTAGCCAAACTGTGAAGGATGAGTCCACTTACATGGGAGATGAAGCTTAGAGCAAAAACGTGGCCAGAGAGGCACGGAAGGCACCTTTTTGTGATTACAAAAGTCGTTGGAAGACTATTTCCAGGAGACAGATTTCTATAGCAGAGCTTTCCTCCTTTTCCGTTTCTTGGTCTGGTTATTCTGCGTTCGGAGCTGCCGTGAAAACATTTGAACAAGGACTGTGGTCCATAAAGACAATTATGTCCGTTGGAATCGATATTAGTTCTGACTTTTCACTAGTTAGTATGTCTAAAATAGGTTAGTCCAGAATTGAAAGGGAGTGGGGAGATGGGGAGGGGCTGAGAGGGAGTGTCCTAGCATAGAAGAGGCTAATTTCAAAGCAAGAAGCTTCAAGGACCTGCCATCTCCATTCTTGTGCTTGGCAAGTCTGGCACGGGGAACTAGCACGGCTAGGGTTGCGATCACTTCTTTGGCAGAGAAAAGCTTGCCGCGGGATGCACCAGGGACAGCCTTCGGTCCGAAGCCTTAGAATGCGACCAGCCCTCGGGCTAGAGGGCGGTAACTGCACAGTCACCCGAGCTTTAGAGCCCTCCGGCGGCGCTCAGCTGGAGGCGTGCCAAACTGTGCATCCGGGACTCTCGCCTTCGCACCCGGCTCGCGCGGCTGTCAATCAGCATCCCCAGCCCGCCCCTCCCGGAGTTGAACCAACCGTAGCCCGCAGTCGGGGGTGAGGCACCCTTGCGGGGTCAGGGAGCGGGAAGGCACGGCCTGGCGTCGCGGCCACCTTTCGGAGTGCCTGCATCCCCTCGCGGACAGCGAGCGGCGGCAGGTGGAACCGGGTGAGTGCGGGCTGCGACTGTGCGCGGGGCCGGGCGGGGCTCTATCGCCGAGCCTGCGCCGTGCAGGGTTTCTCGCACACCCCTCCGCTGCGGAGCCGGTGTTGCCCGAGCAGTCTGCGACCCCGGACCTGGGCTGTGAGTTACAGCCCCGGGGGTCCGGGCCGCCTGCTGGGAGGGGCGGGGAGCGGAAGCCCGGGTCGAGGCGCCCGCAGAGTGTGAATCTCGACTGCAGCAGCTTGGGGCGGAGGAGCGGAGCCGCAGCAGGGGCGGGGCGGGGCGGGGCTGAGCATCTTCATCCTCAGTTTCTCCCCTGGCAGCAACGCGGCTGCCACCGCAGCAGGCACCTGTGTTGCCCGCACCTGAGAAACGTCCGGCCCTCTCTCCCCACCTCCCTTCTCTCCATGTCGCTAGTCCCATTGCTGTCTGGGCACCAGCGGCCTCTTGGCTGGCCGTCCTGTCTGTCACACGTTGGACTGCTCAGGCCTTACTGAGCTGCAGTTGGGGGGGGTGGGGCATCGAGGTAGTCGTAGGGGGAGAAACGGGAATGTGACTTTGCACGCTCAAAGTCATGTAGAGACCCTGGCCTGTCGCCTGTACTCCTTGACCAGCGTCGGTAGGACTGTGTGATGCTAAAAGAGGTTCCCGGGGAAATTATTTCAGTGTAATGTAATTGAAATTGTGTGAAATTGTAATTTTTTCTCTTGCTTTTGGCATTTCCTCTGAAGGGAGATTATTGCCATATTTCCTATAAAGAATCACACTGGTCTGGTGGTCGTCTCCCTTCCCCAATTGCCTTTATTTATCATTTGGAACATCAGGATGCAGTTGGTTGTGGCTGGACCCCCTAGACCTTGGTAATTGTCTGAATTTTCTCTAGGAGGCAGTGGCATACTATTCATCATGTTTAGGTTTGGCTTTCCTTTGACTTTTTCCATGTCTGTTACTATTACAGTCTTTCCCTGCCTGGGTTGATAAAGTTCTGTACTCTGTTACTGAGAAAGGAAATGAAAGAATAGGTCACCGAGGAAGGGATGGCAGTCCCCAGTGCCCTAGAATGGGGTTGTCCTGAGAGGACATGATGGTAAGTTACAATTCAAAATTTATTTTAGTATGACCATCCCTGGCCAACTGATGTAATATTACCCCCCTGGCCACCCTGTGTGTGAGTGGTTCTCCTACCTGACTGTATACAGTAGTCATCTAGGGACCTTAAAAAAAAGTCTCTTAAGCACTCCCACAGAGTCTGATTTAATTGGTTGTTTGGGGTCTGGGACCTGGTATTTACTGTGCAATGTCTCATTTCTTCCCCCCTATAGCACTTAATACAGTGTTATCGAAGTGATTACTTCCCCATCTACCATGCAGACTCAGTGAATGCATTGGGTCTTGCTTTGGCACACCTGGCTACATACGGTTTAGGTGAGTCAGCACTTTGGGGCACATGAGGTGGGGATAGTGAAAGAGAAGTGGGAGCTGCAGAAATGAGTCCTGCTTCATCTTTGTTCGAAGGTTGATCTTGGTTTTGGATGGGTTTCCATTTTTTAAAATAATTTATTATTTTTGCTTTATGTGTGTGCATGTATTGCCTGCATGTATATAAGTATACCTGTGTTGTGAAATGCCTGCAAAGGACAGAAGATGGTGTTGGATCCTCTGGAACTGGAGTTTCAGATAGTTGTTAGTTGCCATGTGGGTGCTAGGATTTGAATCTGGTCTTTTCAAAGAGAGATCTATATAGATGCTTTAAGGAGTATGTAGTTAGGTATACAAATGGGTTGCTGAAATCTAAGGGCTCGCTGTACTTGTAGGAGGAAGTCCAGTATTTTCCTGGTGTGTCTATCCGTGATTAATGCCAGAAGTCTCTAGCCACGAGAAGCATCTTGCATTGCTGCCTGTAGCCTTGTAGCTCCTTCAGCTTTGGATTCTGCCCTTGCCATCCATCTGCATCACTGACCTCTGCTGTGCTGCTGGTGGGCTCTGAACCACACTGATGTATTCTAAGCAGCTGGCATTGTGGAACCCACAGACCACACTTGCCCACGATGTACCTCTTTGTTCGTCTCCCACTCTGTCATCAAGATAACCTATGATTTTCCTGGCCAGATTGTTGAGAAAGTTTCTATAGTAGACTAGTTGGGGTTCTGGTGATGGAGTTATTCTTTGTTTTCATAGCTATTTCCTTCTCAGAATTTACCAGACACTTTAGAGTGGGTGAGTGCCTTGGTATATAGAAGAACAGTGTTGGTGTGGGGCATGAGATGGTTAAGTATAGTCTTTTATAGACCACAGCAGCTGTGTGGAGTTTTCCAGGATGATGGCTTTCTTCCTCTTCCCTCCTCTCCCCTCTTTTCTCCTTTCCCCTCCCTCTCTCTTTTCTTCCCCCCTTTACTCTTCCTCCCCTCCCCTCTTCTCTTAAGCCCCCTTTTCCCTCCCCCTCCCTCTTTCCCTCCTTCCTGAACCTGGGGGCTTGCATGCTAAGCAAGCACTCTGCTACTTGTATCCCCAGTCCATAGTCCTCTTTAAGAAAGGAACTAACTGGGTGTGGTGGTGCACCCCTTTAATTCTGGTACTTGGGAGGCAGAGGCAGGGTGGATCCCTGTGAGGTAAAGTCCAGCCTTGTCTACATAGTGATCTCTAAACCAGCTAGTGCTATGTAGTGAGTCCTTGTCTTAAAAAAAAAAATCATAGCCGGGCGTGGTGGTGCACGCCTGTAGTCCCAGCACTTGGGAGGCAGAGGCAGGTGGATCTCTGTTAGTTCAAGGCCAGCCTGGTCTACATAGTGAGTTCCAGGACAGCTGGGGCTACAGGGAGACCCTGCTTCAAAAAGACAAAAAAAAAAAAATCATGTTCCATCTTTGGTGATGTAGCTTGTCTTCCTGTAGTTATTTGCCAGACATGGTAGTGCCTGCCTTAAATCCTGGCACTTGGGAGGCAGAGGTAGGTGGATTTCTCTCTGGTATGTGGCTTCTTTTTTGAAAGGATAGTCATAACTGGCTGAACCTAGTTGGAGACACTAGAAATAAGTACAAATGATTATCAGCTGAGAAGTGAAAATAAGTACTATGGGAATTCTGAGAATAGAGGGCACATTGCATTAGCTTAGTCTTGTTTCTATTCTGAAGGTGGGTTGGGGAAGGGTTAGCACGGTCTTTGTGGATGAGAATGGTTCAGACAAGTGGAGTAGAGGCGTGAGAACAGGAGGCATTCCGGGTCCAGCAGAAGGCTAAGGGGAGTGATGATGCCGTTGAGCTATTCTGAGCTACTCTGCTTCATGCTTATGCACCCTTTCCACCTTTCATCTGTGTCTATCCTTCAAGAAACGCCCCTGAGAACAAAATGTCAGTCACTTCTCTGTTTACCTGTGTCAGTGAACAATCTGAATATTATGTACTTACTGTTTTGGGGATTTTTAAATCTAATATTCATCATGCTTTTGCTATAAGTCATCTAGATTTTATAGTTCCTGATTAATAGTATGGATTATATAGCATCTAATATCTCCTTTTTTACACTTATATATTTATTGTGCATGTATGTGTGCGTGCTTGTGTGTGTGTGTGTGTGTGTGTGTGTGTGTGTGTATGTGTGTGCCACAATGCATGAATGACGGTCAGAGGTCAGCTTGGAGCATTTGGTTCTCTTCTTCCGCCATGTGGGTCCTACAGATCAAACTCAAGTTTTCAGGCTTGGCAGCAAGTGCCTTTACATGCTGAGCCATCTCACTGGCATATTTTTATAGAAGTCTCATTTCCAATAAAGAGTTTAACTTTTCAAAATAACACAATCCTTTGTCTTCTATTAAAGAATATCTCTTACCTGTCTTTCTAAATTTTTATGCATTTTTCTCATTAAGGTGTGCAGTAATGTGTTTGATTTTCTTCCAAAGCCTACTAGAACATTAGATGCAGTAAACAAGCCTTTATCAGCATTGGGAAGGAAATCATATGTTAGAAACACTGGCACTGTGACTGGAAACACTTACCAGTATCAGTTCAGGGCTGAGCTAGTCCACTGGAAACTGTTCAAGGGAACAATGCAGAAGCAGCAAACACTAGCGTTCATAAAAATGAGACTGTTTCTGTTCTACCTGTAAAGAATAAGGAAGTTAATTCTGATCGGGCTACCCAGGGGAACATTAAAGAGGAAAGAAAAGAATGGCAACAGTTGCTGGTGCAGAAAATGTCAATAAAATAACAGATGAAAGGCCAGTGAGATGGCTCAGCAGGTAAAGGTGTTTGCTACCAGGATGACCTGAGTTTGATCCCCAGCACCCACGTGGTAGGAGAGAATAGCCTCCTGCAAAGTTGTCTCCTGACCTGCACGTGTGTCAAGGCACAAGGCATACACACACACACACACACACACACACACACACACACACCCAATAAATAAATAAATGTAAATTTAAAAATTAAAATTAAATAAAAAAATAACAGATGACAAAGTAGATGAATCAGGATCACCTGCCCCTTGCAAACCCAGGAGATGATATCAACCCAAGTCTGAATCTCAGGGCAGTGCTTCAAAAATGCTATAAATAAACCCATTAGCAAGAGTTTGGATGCTTAAGCTACAAGATAGAACTGTAAAGGCAGCACCATCAGGGACAAATTGACTTACAAAGATAAAAAGAAAACTAATTTGCAGAGGGCCAAAATGAAGGTCAAACAGAAGACTCCAGCTTCTGCAAGAACTCTTGATTCAGAATGTCCCTGAACAGAAAATGAAGTTCACCTCAAAGCACACATCGTCTGCCTTGGAGACTGAGGCAATTATTTCCTTTTTGCATGACCACAGTCCTTTTGTGGATATGTACAACACACACACACACACACACACACACACACACACACACACACACACGGAGGCGGGACGTGAGGGAGACTTATTCTTCCTTCAAGACTTTTCCTATGAAAAATTACTAATTAAGCAAATTGCTTAACTCCTACATATCTGGAGTTTAAAGTTATAATAAACCATTAATTTCTGTACTCCAATTTTTATCTTAAAGAAAGTAAAAAGATGTCCTTACACTGATACAGAAGGTTCATCCATTCTTGAGCCAGGAATTCCCATGTTTCACAAGAAAACAATAGAATCTATGTTGAATTACTATATTCTTTTAGAAAAAAAGAGATTACATTAATGTTTCTTTGTTTTTTTCTTTTGGAAACTTTTGCATATTATTCTTTCTGTCCGCTTTTGTGAAAAATAAGACATACAGATTTCTGTGTCTTGCTATAAAAAGATGTCATAGCATTTTTATAAATGTTATAAAATCATTTTTATCAGAGTGAAAAAAATCATTACTGATTTGCAAACAACCAAAACCAAAACAAAAGCCCAAACGGTGGCGGTGGTGGGGGCAGGGGCGGGGGGGGGGCTAGAGAGTTGACCAATGGGTTGAGAGCACATGCTGCTCTTGCAGAGGACCTGAGTTCCATTCCTGGCATCCACATCAGGAGGCTCACAACTGCCTGTAACTCCAGTTCCAGGAGGATCCAACACCTCCCTGGAAGCCAGCACCTGGCTTCCGTGGGCACCTGCACTCATGTGCACAAACACTTATACACATAATTAAAAGTAAAAGTAAAGTTGTAAAAAAAACCCTCAAAGCACCCAAGTAACTAGAAAGAGCATTTTAAATTTGATAATGTGGTAGAACAACTCCAAGCAGCCGACTCAAATCCTCTGTCCCTAACACCTGTGATGAAGGATGCAGAGATCTCTTACCCATTCCTCAAGGTAACGTTCCTCCCCCACATCTTCAGGGCAGGTGTCTTCCTGTACCTTGTCATTTTGCTGAAGGAGGATAAGGACTGCATGCATGCGTGTGTGTGTGTGTGTGTGTGTGTGTGTGTGGTGGGGGGCAGAGGCTGTAAACCTGAAGGCTGTTTTGTCTCTTGCTGTAGGAACCATTTTCCAGAGTCATGGTTCCCACAGTATCTCAGACAGATTTTATAGAAACACAAAGCCTCCTCTTAATGCTCTTTACATATAATTTGTATAGTAGTGTTATATAACAAACTATAAAGAAAAGGGAGTGATTTTAGTTAGAAATATAATGCCTACTTTTATTTCACAATTTCTGAGTTTGAAGACATTTTTTCATTACCCTATTAAAAATTAAGAGCTAAATAGTTAATAGGATGATTATTACAAGAGCTACATAGAAGCCTGGCGTTGGAAAAGGAAACTGAAGAGATTGTATTCAAGAGACAGATGTTGCGATCCTCAGGCCCTTTGCTCTGCCTTTGTGACTGAACCTTAGATAAGGTTCAAAAAGGAAATGTGCTTTTCTTCTTTCTCTGCCTTGGGCTATTAAAATTGATGATGTGCTCTTATTTTTCTGGTTTGAAGAAGTTTATTGAAGAAAATTATGCTTCTTGAATCAATTGTAGTCTCTCCTCTACAGAGCTTTCAGATTACTGACAGAATAGAAACCAGTTCAACTGACTACTCATCCAGCAGCTCAGAAAAACAAAGATGGAGTTTTGAGCGATGATGGTAGCATGGTGTCGGCCATGGGTGATCAGGATACAGCTGGACAATGTGGACCAATTTCTTCAAACTACGGCTTTTCTGCTGTCTGCTTGCAGTGCTGATGGTGGCGGCACTGGTCGTCAATATCACTCAGGTGGAGGTGAGTGCCCAGTTCTTGGGATTTGGCCTTTAGTGGTCATCAAGAAGCTTATCCAGTTCTTTCCATTGATGCAGTATGTATTTGAGCATATCTTTGGTCATGTACTATGCTAGTCACTGAAGAGCCAGTGGCAAAAGACAAGATTTCTTTCCTCATAGAGGTCACATTCTGAGTGTGCATGGGAGAAAACAGGGTAAATATCCCTTATCTGAAATGCTTGGACTAGAATATCTCATATTTGGAAGTTTTTTTTTTTATTGTCTTTTGAGACAGGGTCTCCCTGTAGCCCCAGCTGTTCTGGAACTCACTATGTAGACCAGGTTGGCCTTGAACTCACAGAGATTCGCCTGCTTCTGTCTCCCAAGTACTGGGACTACAGGCGTGCGGTACCACGCCTGGCAGAGGTTTTTGTTTTATTTCACAAAGAAAGGAAGGTTATTCAGCTCATTAATATTAGAATTTTTCTTCCAATTTGGGAGTTTTGCATAGACTTCACTGGTTAAGCATCTGTAATTTAAAAATCTTGAAGTTAAGTTTGTGCCCTGCCCAAACCTGAACATTCAAAATTTTAAGTTTAGATACTGGAGCATTTCAGATTTTACACTTTCGGATTAGGAATTCTATCTACAATCATAAGTAATAATTACAATTGTATATGTAGTGATAATAACTGTTAGAGATTGTAAAAGTGCTCTAAAGCAAGGAGAGGGAGTTGGTGGTCACCCTCCCCTCACCTAACCACAACCAAAGGCTGGCTTCCAGTTTGCTGTAGGCAGAATCCATCTGGGCAGCTTGTTTTCATTAACTCCAGCTTTTTCACCACCCCCCCCACCACTGTGAATCCACAACTTCTACAGGCCTAGGCTACACAGGGCTGCCGTAGCCTGACCTTACAGCTGACACTGGGGTTGGGGGCACCAGGGCAAAAGCCAGGTTATCAGCTAAAAAAAAAAGACAAGCAAAGCTCCTTTTTTTTTCCATGGGGAGCAAGGACAGAGGGTACTTTATGGTTGCTTTAGGGTACGGCAGGTAAAGTTTTCTCAAGCAGGGGACCCTTTTAGCTTAGCAAAAGGAAGGACTGGTTAAGGGGAGGAAGTTGATGAGTTGTTTTGAATACTACTGTATAGAAGAAGGACAGGGAACATGTCTTTCTGAGCACCTCATAAGTGCCTGAGAAGACACTAAGAAGATACATAGTAATCATTCTCCCTCTTCCCACCTTCCTCTGCTGAACACATGATGTGGCTGAATTTATGGAGTAGTTTCTTCAAAAAAAAATTGCCGGCTTTTTCATTTTGTTGACTGGTAGTACTTAGAATGCAAGTCTAATTAATCATGGCATTTCTTTACTTACTCGGTTTTGCATAAGATGTTCGAGAAGCTAAGCCACAGAAGATCCCACAGATTTTTTTTTTTCCTGTAAGACATTGCTAAAATTTATTAGGTACTTTGAAGAATGTGAAGTGATTCTGTTCAAGATGAAAGCATATAAATTAGGAATTTTTCCTTTTCTTTGCTTACACTGTTCTCTTGTTTTTCTGTAGATAAGGCAATGTCAGCACCTTATTGATAGCATCTTCTACTTGGAAACTGTCCATGATATGTCTGGGTATTGTTGGAAATCCCCTTTCTCTGTTTCTGTATGATATACATAATGCAGAATGTACAATACCTTCTTGTCTTTGTATGTTGAGTATGGGCATTTCTTGCCACAGCATGCATGTTAAGGTCAGAGGACAATCTTGGATGATGGTCTTCACCTTCCACCTTGTTTATGAGAGGTTCTCTTTGTTGTTCACTGCTGTGTACACCGATCTGACTGGCCTTGACCTTCTGAAGATTCTCCTGTATCTGCCTTCCGTCTCACTGGGAACTGGGATTCCAGATGTGCTACTGTGCCTGGCTTCACATAGGTTCTGGGGATTTAGATTCAGGTTCTTACTCTTGCATGGCAAGTGCTTCACCCACTGAACCATCTCCTTGGCTCTAACCATTTTAAAGTGTTTGGTTGAAATGACCTTAAATATCTATTAGGTACATTTAATTTATGATATCATTTAACTCCAGGGTTTCTCAGTTTAGTTTTTGTCTGAATGACTTGCCTGTTGGTCAGAGCGGGGTATTGAAATTACCCATTATCACTGTATTGGAGTCAATTTGTGATTTTTGATGTAATAGTGTTTCTTTTATAAGAATGGGTGCCCTCGTGTTTAGTGCGTACATGTTTAGGATTATATCTTCTTGGTGGATTTTTTTCCTTTAATGAGCATGAACTAGCCTTCCCTGTTTCTTCTGACTAGTTTTAATTTGAAGTCTGTTTTGTCAGATATTAGGGTAAACTATGCTTGCTTGTTTCTTAGTTCCATTTCCTCAGAATATTCTTTTCCATTCTTTTACCCTAAGATGGTGTTGATTGTTGATGGTGAGATGTGTTTCTTGGAGGCAGCAAAAAAGATGAATCCTGTTTCCTTTAAAAAAAAATTAATTAATTAATTATGTGTATGAGTGTTTGCCTGCTTGTATGTAAGTGCATCTGTGTCCTGCAAAGCCTGCAGAGGTCAGAAGATGGTGTCCCCTAGAACTGGAGTTAACAGACAGGTGTTAGCTACCATCTGGGTGCTGGGAACTGAACCTGGGTTCTCTGCAACAGAAGCCAGTGCTCTTTACCACTAAGCCATCTCTTCAGCCCCAGATCCTTAGTCCAGTCCCTCCTGGCTTTCAAAGTCATCATTGAAAAGTTAGGTGTTATTCTGATGGGCCTGACTTTTTATGTGATTTGGCCTTTCTTTCCCCTTTCAATATCTTTTCTTTCATTAATACATTTAGTGTTTTGATTATTATATTATGTAGGGGTTTTCTTTTCTGATCTTTTTTTATTTGGTGTTCTGATTTCCTTTTGTACCTTGATAGGCATCTCTTTCCTTAGATTTGGGAAATTTTCTTGTATGATTTTTTGAAAATATTTTCTGTGTGTTTGACCTGGGTTTCTTTTCTTCTATACCTATGATTTGTAAGTTTGGTCTTTAAATAGTATCATAGAGTTCTTGTACATTCTATACCTGGACTTTTTTTTTTTTTTTTTTTTTCAGATTTGACATTTTCTTTGACTGTGTGATTCAATTCCTCTTCTTCATCTTCAAACCTTGATATTCTTCCTTCCATTTATTTGATCCATTCTAATGATGATTTTTTATATCATTGATTGAGGTTCTTGTTTTATTTCAATTTGCCTTTTCTTTATTAAATTCTATTTTCATGTCTTGAATTGTTTATTTTATTCACCAGTTTGTGTTTTTGAGGTCTTCATCTGGGATTTATGCATAGCCTCTCTAAGTCCTGAGAATGTATTTATAATTGCTATTTTGAAATCATTGTATTGTGTACCAACTAAGTTGTTTTTCTCAGGAAACATGATAGGGGTAACTAATTTCTGGAGGAGATATATTGTCATAGTTATTCATGTTGTTTATGTTTCTGTGATGGGACCTAGTCATCTCGAATTAGGCCATTGGTGACATTTCCTGGTATGGATATCTGGTCTCACCTTTGTTGAGTAGGTGCTTGGATTTTTATTTGCTGTTACCTCAGTTTGTCAGGTTGTAGACCACTGGAATGGTGCTTGGGATTCAATGTTGGTGCTACTTTGTGTTGTTATATGAATGGGGTGTCAGATGGTCTCGGCACAGCTAGGGAAAGGTGTACTTCTGAGCCCAGGAAGAAGCCTTCTGTAGTGTTAGAAGATGCTCACTACCTATATTCAGAAGTCTGTGGAAGGCTCATCAGCTTTTACACATGGTCCTTGGGTGTCTAGGCATGGGTTCATGTAGGAGGTGGGTAGTGCCTGAGGTGTTGGATCCTCTGGAGCTGGAGTTACAAGTAGTTGTGAGCCACCCAGCATTGGGTGCTTGGATCCCAACTCTGGTCCTCTGAAAGAGCAATACATGCTTCTAACCACTGACCTATCTCTTCATCCCCAGAGTTATTTATTTACTTATATATTGAGGCAAGGTCTCGCTATGTATCCCTGGCTGATCTTGAACTCACCATGTAGACTAGGGCCTCTGCTTCCTGATTGCTGGGGTCGAAAGCATGTGCTGCTGCTCCCAGCAAGACTATTATTTTTATAGTCTTAAAGTTTTAGAAAAATTACATTAAAAGTTGGGCTTCCATATTGTTCCTTTACTCCCCAGCTCCCCATTATTAAAATCTTACTTTAGTGTGATGTTTGTTATAACTGATAAGCCAGTATTGATACATTATCAATGAGTGCCCATAATTTCCATTAGGTTATGCTCTTTGTTGCTTAATGCTATGGATTTTGACAAATGATGTGTCCATCATTAAGAGTATAATAAAGAATAGTTTTGCTGACCTAAAAATACTCTACATGTTCATCCTTCCTTCTCTTGCCTGCCAGACAGTCACTGCCTCCCCTCCCCTAGACAGGGTCTCACTGTGTAACCCTAGCTGGCCTGTACTTGCTATGTAGACGAGGCTGACCTCAAACTCACAGAGGTCTGCCTGCCTTTGCCTCTTTCTGGGATTAAAGCATGTGCCACCATGCCTGGTATGCCATCAGTCTTTTTATTGTCTTCGTAAGTTTGCATTTGCCAGAATGTCATAAAGTTGGAATAATATAGTATGTGGCCTTTCAGATAATTTTTCTCTTTTCAATACTTTAGTTACTCTACACTTCTTTTTCTTGTATTGTTTCTATTGACAAACTGAAATGAGATTCCTTTTGTTTTCTCTAAAACAACATGTGTTTGTTTCTCATGGTTCTAGGGGCCAAGAGTCTGAGATCAAGACTCAGGGAGAGCTCCTTTTTGACCTTGCAGAGGGCCACCTTCTCACTGTTCATACAGCGTAGAAAGCTGTTTCGTGTATCTCACTCTGTATTTTCTTTCTTTCTCTTTCTTTCTTTCTTTCTTTCTTTCTTTCTTTCTTTCTTTCTTTCTTTCTTTTCTCTCTCTTTCTTTCTCTTTCTTTCTCTCTCTCTC